AAAGAAAGAAAGAAAGAAAGAAAGAAAGAAATCGCAAATCAATCGAAATGTGAAGTTGGGTAAGATATATGAATATCAAATTCAATCAAATCATCGTAAGTGCACGTTTGAGTCTTTGACATCAAGGAACAGTCTTCTAATAACTCATGCCACCAGAAAATCCGCAAATCGGGTAAACCAGCATATTCTAGAGTATATTACAGTAACTGATAAATTACAAGGGAGTAACCTAGTTTCTTAGTTTCTGAGTTGGTGATATGAGTATACTATCTTTTATTCGGTTATGTGATACATGCCCTTCATACCAAAGTTCTCCCCTACTCGAGTACATTCTATTGAACACTAAGAGGATCGATATCATGAAATGCATTCTACTTTAGCATATATTATACAAAAGCACATGGCAAGACCAAGAAAGAATCAGGAATCACTCGAGTATATGCAAGGAATACCGACCGTTACATAGTCTTAGATAGTGTGCAGGACAAGTAAGAAAAGTAGCTAAATTTATCTTGCTATGTTATGGTAAACACGTTAATACGTTAATGCTAATAGCAGCTATTCCCACAATTATCGATTTAGTTGCATTAACGTGAATGGCCAAGGGGTCTGTGAAATGTACTCCGTACCGGTTACCGATACTATTTGAGTGGGTAGGTTGATAGATGTAACGAATAGGCATGATGGTGAGGTTCGAAGACTTGATGACTAGCCCGGTAAAGATGTTATTGTAAATAATTGAATGAAGGGGGAATGGTTGTTCATGTGACTTATCTATGCCAGTTGTTATAAGCTGTTCTAATTGGCTGGGTAATAATAATTCGTATCGTTGCTGGATCAGCAATTCTTCACCTTTAAACCACGCTAATCTCTGTTTACAGGGTTCTACTTTCCATCTTTCCATGCCTCCAGACAATAAACATAGAGGAAGAGGCTGGATTGGATGTTGATGAGTCCGTTGACCACTCAAATTTCAAAGATTCTATCTTTCCGGAATCCCGTGCTTCACTTTCTGTCTTTTCCTTCTAACCCTAACCCCCCCCCCCCCTTCACTCCTAACAACCCTCTTAGGAACTCAGGAGGTTTCTCGTTGTGTAGCACCGACCAGCAAGCAGCACCACATAGCATAATACATCCTTTGGACAACCAACACCACTCATTGTCGACAACACGAGAAAGTCGCTTTTTCTTCTTCTTTTATTTTTATTTCATTTCATTTTCAATCAAATCGGCCAACCCAACTATACCTACCTTCTTTCTTCTTTTTTTCTAACCTCATATTCATTCTAACAGTAGCGACAAACGGCAAACGGTTAAACAGCAAACGACGACGACGTCAATAAACAACTCAAACGCAACTTCTTCCATTCGATAAACTTCCACCACTTCAATATAGACCTAAAGATTTCTATTTGCATTCCGACCGGACCGCCAATTCAACCGTACCGTACAATATTTATCTATCCTAAGGATTGACCGTACCGGTACTGTACTCGACATCAACAATAAACAATACAAATACATACCGCTTCAAATAGGAATATTCAAACAAATACATAGATCGACCACGAACCACGAACCAAGGATTTTTATTTTACGATTTAACCACTTCAGCAGTGCTACAGTACACCTCCAAACACTACTTCTACCTTAATTATTGTTTCATATTACTTTACGGGAGGAATAAAGGTGATTCACGACTTATTACGACCATTATTGTACACGAAAACCAATCTTCCAATCTTTCAATCTTCTCACAACCTCATCCTTCATTAATTGTTGCGCGATCAAACATTACACGATCCGACTTTGATTTTGCGACCATCAAACGAAAAATAAGAACCTCTATTTCAATCTCTTGACTGCCAACCAAGTTTATATTACTGTGAGGGGTCTGCGGGAGGTTATTATTTATTTGTTTATCGTCAAGAACAACAACAATCGCGACAACAACATACAATTTTGGTCACCAGTCTGCAAGATCACGAGTCTAAGGAACGAATGTTACCGCCAAGCAATAGGACGGGTTTAAGATAGCGAGAAGATTCATCACGACGCGAATACAAATTAGGTCAGAACAGAAACAGCAAGAAAATAACCGCAGATGTCGGAACTACCGTCTTCCCCACCTTCTGATCCAGCAGATGCGATCGCATATTATAAACTTCAATATGAGCAACTGGAGACAGAGTTGACGGAATTTCAGGCGAGTTCGCAAGAGTTGGAAACAGAATTAGAGAAGGATGTAGAGGCTGCAGAGAGGAGGGAAAGGTTGTTGCAGGAGAAGGTGGAAAGTCTGGGATTTGAGGTGGAAGAATGGAAGGTATGTTCTTTCAAGAGGTGGATATTATAATTTGGTAGTATAGTTGGCTAACATGAATTTCATTGTAGACGAAATACAAGCAGTCCAAGAACGAAGCAAATGCCGCGCAAAATACACTACAGAAGGAGATCACTTCTTTACGAGATGTGAATCGGACAATGCAGCTACAACTACGCGATATTGAGGTTCAACATGACGATATCGAAAGGCAGGCGCGAAATACATTTTCGTCTTTGGAGGATATGGAATCAAAATTCAACATGTCTATAGAACGAGGGGTAATGATGGAGGAGGAGATCAAGATCGGTGAAAAGGAAAGGGAACAATTGAGGATCGAAACCCAACGATTGCGGGATGAGTTTTCAGATCTAAAGGTGGAGGCAGAAATCATGCAAGAGAAGCTACGGAAACGACAATTTCCATCCATCACAACGGATTACACTGCACCAAATACCCCTTCATTTGGACCTTTTGCGACATCTCCCAGATCCACAACTTCTTCTCCACTCATCAATACTCCACCAGATACCAAATCTGTATCTACGACAGATACCGTTTCCGAAACTCCTACCCCTCCATCCCCACCAATGTCAGAAGCTTCTGCAACTGCACGAACGGGACTGAACATTCCGATGAATATACCTCATAACAAACTTAAATTACCAGTGGGAAATTCAAGCATGACACCACAACCAGCCCTATCTCGTTACACATCTGGAACAGTGCGTAACTCCCGAGCACCGACACCGAATGGCAATTCGATAATGAGGACCGCGACGCCAGCGGTAATTCGCCAGACAAGACAACAAGCACCACCTACACGGGGTTTGCCAAACTCTACATCTCTTACGCATATTCGAAGTCTTACGGCACAAATGCAAAGATTGGAACAAAGAGTCCAGTCCGCAAGATCGAAACTACCGGCACCGGTAACTACTCCACCTCATACTACCTCAAGAACAATATCAGCTATGGGTAGTAATTATGTGCCACCGAGTGTTACACTGCGAAATAGGCAAAGAACGACAGGAAGTACGGCGAGCGCAAGCACTACATCGTCTATGACTGGAGAAGAAACCTTAACAAGATATCCTCCTCGAGTATCGGCCTCGGGCATCAGCAGGCTTTCTTTTGCGCCTGTTGCAAATAGAGATGGAAATGATAGCAGTCAACACAGTAGTAGACCCCCTAGTAGACCAGGTAGTCGTGCCAGCGGTTCGATCTATGATCGACCGCCAAGTCGACCAATTGCCAATCGCCCGAGCGCCAACACGCCAATAGGACATTACTCACAGGCGCAACTCGCGGATGCGAGGAGAGCCAGAAGTAGCATGGGCGGAAATTTTGCGGATAGACATGGGGAGGGTCGACCTCATGCACACTCGCAGAGTGTATCATATGTTGGCTATGGTGTTGATGAGAATCGGGAATCTGACTATTCGACGCCAAATCGAAGAGGAACATTAAGTGGCTTCGAGAGCACGGTTGACCCGTCACTATCTGTCCTTCCCCGAAGGAAAAGCGGAGGACAATCATTATCGATGTCGGGTCTGCCCATGCCTAGAAGAACAAGCACGAGCCATGGATTCCGGGAAGAGGACGAAAGGATTCTTGATCCTAGACCACCGTCGGGACTGAACAGAACTCCGACGGTACCAACAGGGAGGCCGAGGAAGTTGAGTGGTGTAGGGGAATGTTATTAGGTTCCGAATATGAGTAAGATCTATATCTTCCTCTTCGCTTCATCTGTATACCGTAATGGGGGATGGGAATTTGGCTTCATATTTGGATGAGGGAGAAGGGTGTAAACTTGGGTTGCGTGCATTGGCTAGGGCGTTTGTTTTCAACATCGTATCGTGCATAGCTGGGCGGACATGGTATGGGAATACAATTTGGGATTGCTGCTATACCTCTTTTTTTATTGATTTGCTCTGCTCTTGCAATTTTTCGGGGGAGTAGGGGGTCTCGTTTTCTTTTGTAAATAGTGTTGAGGGAGGGGATTTGATGGATGGATGGATGGATGATGATGACGGGAGACAGAGTGGGGTGGAGTGGGGTAGATGGGGTGGGATAGGATAGGATGGGTGTTTTCATTTGTTTTGTTAGTAGGAGACAGTGTGGAAGGAAGGGAGGGGAAGGGATTGGTTGGTAGGACGGGAAAGAAAGGTAGATGATAAAGAATGAGGAAGAAGATGTCGAGAAAGAGCATGGATGTGATGGCTGGATGCAAGTGAGCGCTACTACTACTACTACTACTACATACACCCCAAACAGATCACTACTCTAGAATGAAGGAAATGATTATGATGATTTGATTTGATTTGATTTGATTTGATTTATTTGAATGTTCGTTAGTGATTTCTTGAACCGATTACCGGTATGTTTTATTGTGTTGTTTGTATGTTTGTGTCACCATGGTGCAATACCTAAAGGTAATGTTCTTAATACGAAACAAGAAAGAAACGAGAAACGCGAAATGTGAAACGAAAAATGAGAAACGAAAGGGTATGTTCTACAGTAGAAGAGCTAGACTACCTACCATAGGTACCTAGGTACTCGGTGAGTAACATGATGTGGTATGGTATGATGTGGTAAGATACGATATCTAACCTTTCATATTATAAAACACTCTTATTTCGCACATGGTCAATGCACGATAACAAACATTTTTTTGAAAATTCACGTGCAATACCACATTCAATCTTCAATATTAATACACTTCTCATACTAATCGATAAAATGAAATATGAAAAGATGATATTCAAAAATATCATTCAATATTTATGATTATCAAGTTAACAAGCCTCCGGAGGACGAGCTGCGACGTAGGAATCGAGGTGCCCTGAAAACCGATTCGAAGAGCGCAGCGAGGCGAATTATTTTTCCGGCACCGAGGGGCCGAAGTCAAAGCTCGTTATATATAGTAAGAAACTTATTAAAAAGCCCTAGAGCCTTCCCTCTCTCTCTCTGAATTAGTTCTCTGTGCTCGGTTTTCGTAACTTCGTGTTTCGTGTTTCGTATTACTTACTATTTATTATACCTAGGGAGGTAGGGAGGTTAGGGAGGTTAGGGAGACACAAGTACTGTACCGGCCGGTACCTACCCCATCGGATGTCCGGATTCTTTTTGTTCCTACTAGTATGTACTCGAGAGTTGATGGATGGATGGTTATTTCTTGGGTAGATGGATGGATGGATGGATGGATGGATGGATGGATGGATGCTGGAGTCGATTGATTGATGTATATGTATATGTATATGTATATGTACTCGAGTATATGTATATTAGATAAAAATAAAAATACTGAGTAAATGCAGTGACGCTCCGCTGGCCCTCAGATATTGGTTTGGGGTTAGGATGGGATGGGATGGGATGGGATGAAATACTCGAGTACCGGTAGGTAGATATATACTCGAGTAGATAGTTAGTTAGTTGATTAGTTGATTGGTACAAAGGTAGAGTTTAGAGTAGGTAGATATCTACTCGAGTATATAGGAAATTGATCAACGAAGATCCATAATTGAAGACAGCTGAAGACAGCTGAATATGTATCGGACCTTTTTTTTCCCCATAGAGTATTGAGGGAGGAGGATGTTGAGATTTGAGATTTGAGAGGATATCGATAATTCAAGTGTAGGTATTTTTTTACCCCTGTATTTTTAGGTTCGGAATTGATCGACCGGCTAGTATTGTATTCATTCCAGAAGCATGGCCACGACCCCTAGGAAGAAGAAAAATATGAAAAAAGATGAGAACTTGGAATAGACAATTGAAAATCGAAATTCAAATCAAATTAACGAAATAAGAGATTTTGTTCCTGTTGATTTGGGAATGTTGATGTATGTTTTGTTTATTTTTGTAATGGATGCTGAGGTTCTTTAATTCAGTAATTGATAATGTGGTTGTTGAATCAAAAAGTATGGGATTGCTGTGTTCTCCAGCTTTTTTTTGATCGGACTTCTCATATCTTGAACATTTTCTAGTGGTGGGTCGGGAGAATGAATGTTAGAGGCTAGAGCTCATCAAATTCGTGGTCGTTGGGAACTCGGGAGACGCACTTTAACTCGCTTCGGCTTAGTGGGGTAATGGGAGGGAGGGATGAGGGATGAGGTTGAAGATGGTTGAGGGTTGAGGGGTTTGGGAGGGTTTGGGTGTTTGATAGTGAGGGTGAGGACAACGAGGACAACGAGGATGGGATGGGATGAGGGCGATGAGGAAGAGGAGGATATGATGAAGAGAAGATGATGAAGAGGATGAGGGACGATAATGAAGAGCCTTAACTGAGTTAACTCAAAACAGAGTGCATGGATGGTGATAACTTCACAATGTCCCGATACTCGCATGGAAAGGGCTCGGACAACGGAAATGGAAATGGAATGGATGGATGTTAGAGAGAGGTAACACTTTCATACTGAAGTAAAAGAAATAAAAAGGAATTGATCGCCATGATTAATTGAAAGTTTTTTTGCTATTATTATTTTCCTCTTCTACTTCAAGTTTCTACTCGAGGGAGGAGTACTTGTGTTGATAACATACATTTTTCATTCTCCTCATATATCTCGTTATATCACAACCTATACCTAATAACTTTCTCTTGGTATTACATATATCTCTATCTGTTGTCTTGTTTTGCTGTACGTGCCGTCAAGATATACACACTACTTTGTAATATTCGGACATCATTCGCCGAAGAAAGGGAAGTCCCCAATAATTTAATTGTCCGTTCATTAGATTGATACCCCAGGTAAGATTGAAAACCTTTATACATCTCCCCTTCCCCTCAACCCTTCTTAAAATCCTCAAAACTTCTACTTTGTCTTTTGTCTACAGTTTATTTTCATTCTCTCACACTATCCCAAGGGCTTTAGATTTATTTCGGAGTTCTTGATAGAAAATTTGAGGAGGTTTCGGGGTCCGTTCCTTGATAATTGTCTTACATTCAACCATTTTCTCAGCTGGGATAAGAAACCTCCAGCTTCCCCTCCTACCTCCATATCCCGGCCTCAAACCTACCCTTTGGCGCCAATCTCTTCTCTGCTCTTCACTGAGCTCTGAATTATCTCTATCAGAATTACACGAATCTACATTCATTATGGCAGAACAGCACACAAACGGCACTGTGCCAATAATGTCCTCGAGCAATGGAACAGGTAGCTCATACGCAGCTCGCCATAACATTGCGGATCACTTCATCGGTGGAAATAAGTTGGAGAATGCTCCACCAAGTAAAGTTAAGGATTTCGTGGCAGCTTCGGATGGTCATACGGTCATTACAAATGTAAGTTGAGACTTTGGTTTTCTCCCTTGATGCGCAGTGGGAATTGGAGTATTGGCATGAAACCGCACTGGTTTCCAAAGAACATAACTGACAATTGGCAAACAGGTTCTAATAGCAAATAACGGAATTGCAGCCGTGAAGGAAATTCGATCGGTACGCAAATGGGCCTACGAAACTTTTGGAGATGAAAAGGCTATTCAATTCACGGTTATGGCCACCCCGGAGGATCTCCAAGCCAATGCGGATTACATTCGTATGGCAGATCAATATGTTGAAGTTCCGGGTGGGACGAATAACAACAATTATGCCAACGTGGAATTGATTGTTGATGTGGCCGAGAGAATGAATGTTCACGCTGTATGGGCTGGATGGTAGGTTTTTGACCCCCGTGGCAATTTTGGAGAAAGAGAAATTGAGGACAGAAATTTGAGAACAGGAACTGACAAAAAATCTAGGGGTCATGCATCAGAGAATCCAAAACTTCCGGAATCCTTAGCTGCGAGTCCGAAAAAGATTGTGTTTATTGGTCCTCCAGGTTCGGCCATGCGATCGCTCGGTGACAAGATCTCCTCCACAATCGTCGCACAACACGCCAAGGTCCCTTGTATACCTTGGTCAGGAACCGGTGTTGATACCGTGAAAGTCAACGATGAGGGTATTGTTACCGTTGAGGACGAGGTGTACATGAAGGGATGCGTGCAATCGTGGGAAGAAGGTCTACAAAAGGCTCACGAGATTGGATTCCCCATTATGATCAAGGCATCCGAAGGTGGTGGAGGAAAGGGTATTCGAAAAGCCGAATCCGAAGTAGGTTTCGAGGCCCTTTACAAAGCTGCCGCCAGCGAAATTCCTGGTTCTCCTATCTTCATCATGAAGTTGGCCGGCAATGCCAGACATTTGGAGGTTCAATTGTTGGCTGATGAGTATGGTAACAATATTTCTCTGTTTGGCAGAGATTGTTCCGTGCAAAGAAGACATCAAAAGATTATCGAGGAAGCTCCAGTTACTGTCGCCAAACAAGCCACCTTCCAGGCTATGGAGAAGGCAGCTGTTCGTCTTGGTGCTCTCGTAGGATACGTTTCTGCAGGTACTGTTGAATACCTCTATTCACACTCGGACGACAAATTCTACTTCTTGGAATTGAACCCAAGATTGCAAGTCGAACATCCTACAACTGAGATGGTCAGTGGCGTTAATTTGCCTGCAGCTCAACTTCAAATTGCCATGGGTCTTCCTTTGCACAGGATTCGAGATATTAGATTACTGTATGGGGTTGATCCTTCGACTACCACAGAAATCGATTTCCATTTCACTCAAGAGAAGAGCATTCAAACTCAAAGACGTCCAACGCCAAAGGGACACACCACCGCTTGTCGTATTACCTCTGAAGATCCAGGTGAGGGTTTCAAGCCTTCGAGTGGTACAATGCACGAGTTGAACTTCAGGAGTAGTTCCAATGTCTGGGGTTATTTCTCTGTTGGTACAGCTGGTGGTATTCACAGTTTCTCCGATTCTCAATTCGGTCACATTTTCGCCTATGGTGAGAATCGATCTGCATCGCGGAAACATATGGTTGTTGCTTTGAAGGAATTGAGTATTCGTGGTGATTTCAGAACTACCGTCGAATATTTGATTAAACTTTTGGAAACTCCTGCTTTCGAAGATAACACCATTACCACTGGATGGCTTGATGAACTTATCTCTAATAAATTGACAGCTGAGCGACCAGATCCTATGCTTGCGGTTGTGTGCGGTGCTGTCACCAAGGCCCATATCGCCAGCGAGGCTTGTATTGCTGAATACAGGACTTCCTTGGAGAAAGGGCAAGTTCCTTCGAGGGATATTCTCAAAACCGTTTTCCCAATTGACTTTATCTACGATGGCCACCGATACAAGTTCACTGCTACCCGATCCAGCTTAGACAGCTACCACCTTTTCATCAATGGATCCAAATGTTCGGTTGCTGTTCGTGCTCTGAGTGATGGTGGTCTCCTTGTTCTTCTCAGTGGACGATCTCACAATGTTTACTGGAAGGAAGAAGTTGGTGCTACTCGTTTGAGTGTTGATAGCAAAACTTGTTTACTTGAGCAGGAGAATGACCCCACACAACTCCGAACTCCATCTCCAGGAAAGCTCGTCAAATTCACTGTTGAGAATGGAGAGCACATCAAGGCCGGTCAAGCATTCGCTGAAGTCGAAGTCATGAAGATGTACATGCCTCTTATCGCTGCGGAAGATGGTATCGTACAACTCATCAAGCAACCAGGAGCCACTCTTGAAGCTGGTGATATTCTTGGTATACTTGCTTTGGATGATCCATCGAGAGTTAAGAATGCACAACCTTTCTTGGGACATCTGCCAGATCTTGGAGCACCACAAATTGTGGGTACAAAGGCTGCTCAGCGTTTCGTACTCCTCCGTAACATCCTCAATAATATCCTTGATGGTTTCGATAATCAAGTCATCATGAGCTCCACTCTGAAAGAATTGATTGAAGTTCTTAGAGATCAAGAATTGCCATACGGTGAATTCAATGCTCAATTCTCGGCTCTTCACGCAAGAATGCCCCAAAAGTTGGATGCTACTTTGACCCAGATCCTTGACCGTGGTAAGTCTCGCAACTCAGAGTTTCCAGCCAAGAATCTTTCAAAGTCACTTCAAAAGTTCTTGGATGAGAATGTTGCACCTGGCGATGTTGATCTCCTTACGGCTTCTCTCGCCCCATTGATTGAAATTCTCAACCGATATCAAAATGGACCAAAGGCTCATGAATTTGCCGTCTTCTCTGGTCTTCTCGAAAAATATGCCTCCGTGGAGCGTCTCTTCTCGGGTCGCACTTCTCGTGACGAGGAAGTCATTCTTAAGCTCAGAGATGAGAACAAGGATGATATCCCCAAGGTTGTTCAAACTGTCTTGTCGCACAGTAGAGTCGGCGCAAAGAACAACTTGGTTCTCGCAATTCTCGAAGAGTATCGACCAAACAAGCCAAATGCTGGTGATGTTGCCAAACATCTTAGAGCTTCTCTTCGAAGTCTTACCGAACTTGAGTCTCGTCAAACCGCCAAGGTTTCCTTGAAGGCACGCGAAATCCTCATCCAATGCGCTCTTCCATCTTTGGAGGAACGTGCAGCACAAATGGAGCATATCCTTCGATCTTCAGTTGTGGAATCGAGATATGGCGAGACCGGATGGGAGCACAGAGAACCAGATATTGAGGTTCTCAAGGAGGTCGTTGACTCGAAATACACTGTCTTTGATGTCTTGCCAATTTTCTTCGGCCATAGTGATCCTTGGGTCTCTCTCGCTGCTCTTGAGGTTTACATTCGTCGTGCCTACAGAGCCTACTCTCTCAAGAAGATTGAGTATCACAACGAGAGTGCCGAGCCCCCTTTTATTGTCTCATGGGACTTTGTTCTAAGGAAGGTTGGAGCTTCGGAATTTGGCATGCCAATTCAATCCTCTGCTCCCTCAACACCAGCCACTCCTTCATATGAATCTGGCAACCCATTCAAACGTATCAGCTCTATCAGTGATATGACGTACCTTACTAACAAACCTGATCATGAGCCAACTCGAAAGGGTGTCATTGTTCCATGTCAGTATCTCGACGAGGCTGAAGAATACTTACAACGAGCCCTTGAGGTCTTCCCACCTGCTGGTGGCAAGAAGAAGGGCAATGCCTTCTTGCCAGAGCTTGGTGGCAAGCGCAAGATTGCACCTCCACGCCTTGATACCGAGGATGAGCTAACCGCTGTCTGCAATGTCGCTATTCAAGATTGCGAGAGTCTTGATGATAATGAGACTGTCGCTAAGATCAAGTTGATCGTCAACGATTACAAGGAGGAACTTCTCAACCGCCGCATTCGTCGTCTTACATTTATTTGTGGTCACAAGGATGGTTCGTATCCTGGATACTACACTTTCAGAGGCCCCAACTATGAAGAAGATGAGAGTATTCGTCACAGTGAGCCCGCTTTATCTTTCCAACTTGAACTTGGGAGACTCTCTAAATTCAAGATTACCCCTGTCTTTACCGAAAATAGAAACATCCACATTTACGAAGCCGTTGGAAAGGAAGCTACGAGCGATAAGAGATATTTCACTCGTGCCGTCGTTCGTCCTGGAAGACTTCGTGATGAGATTCCTACTGCTGAGTATTTGATCTCCGAGTCTGACAGATTGATGAATGATATTTTGGACGCTCTTGAGATTATTGGAAACAATAACTCTGATCTCAACCATATCTTCATCAACTTCTCACCAGTTTTCCCTCTTCAGCCTCCCGAGATCGAACAAGCTCTCGGTGGTTTCTTGGAGCGTTTCGGTCGACGTCTCTGGAGACTTCGTGTTACTGGTGCCGAGATCCGTATTATTTGCACGGACCCAGCTACTGGTATGCCATATCCTGTTCGCGTTGTGATCACCAATACCTCTGGTTATGTCATCCAAGTCGAGATGTACGCCGAGCGCAAATCCGAGAAGGGTGGTGATTGGGTCTTCCAGAGTATCGGTGGCACTACCAAGATTGGTTCCATGCACTTGAGAGCAGTATCTACTCCATATCCTACCAAGGAATGGCTGCAACCAAAGAGATACAAGGCTCATCTTATGGGTACCCAATACGTCTACGATTTCCCAGAGCTCTTCAGACAAGCTATCCAGAACAGTTGGGTTAAGGCTGTTAGCAAGCACTCTTCTTTGGCTGATAAACAACCTCCTACTGGTGAATGTATCGAGTATAGTGAGCTTGTGTTGGATGACAACGATGGTCTTGCTGAAGTCTCGCGCGAACCAGGTACTAACACTCACGGCATGGTTGGTTGGCTTGTAACTGCCAAGACCCCAGAATACCCAAGAGGTCGAAAGTTCGTCATCGTTGCCAACGATATTACCTTCAGAATCGGTAGTTTCGGGCCAAAGGAAGATCAATTTTTCTTCAAGTGCACAGAACTCGCAAGAAAGATGGGTATTCCACGTATCTACCTTTCTGCCAACTCTGGTGCTCGTATTGGTATGGCTGAAGAACTCATGCCACATTTCAAGGTTGCTTGGAAGGATCCTGAGAAACAAGAAGCTGGATTCAAATATCTTTACTTGGACACTGATACCAAGAAGAGATTTGAAGATGGTAAGACCAAGGATGTCATTACTGAGGAACTTGTTGAGGATGGTGAAACGAGACATAGGATCGTCACCATTGTTGGTGCTGAAGATGGTCTTGGTGTTGAGTGCTTGAAGGGTTCTGGTTTGATTGCTGGTGCTACTTCAAGAGCTTATGAGGACATTTTCACTATTACTTTGGTGACTTGTCGTTCAGTTGGTATGTATTTTCTCCTGACTTTCCTGAATGAATTTGCTAACGACTTTAGGTATTGGTGCTTATTTGGTTCGTCTTGGCCAACGTGCTATTCAAATCGAAGGACAACCTATCATCCTCACCGGTGCCCCCGCCATCAACAAGCTTCTCGGTCGTGAAGTTTATACCTCTAACTTACAACTTGGTGGTACTCAAATCATGTACAAGAATGGTGTCTCTCACATGACTGCCAATGATGACTTCGAGGGTGTTTCCAAGATCGTTGAGTGGATGGCTTATGTCCCAGACAAGAGAAACAGTCCTTTGCCAATAGGTCCTGCTGCTGACTCCTGGGACCGCGATATTGTCTACACTCCACCTGAGAAGCAAGCTTACGATGTTAGAAACCTCATCGCCGGTAAGGAAGATGACGAAGGCTTCATGTCCGGTCTCTTCGACAAGGACTCTTTCGTTGAATCCCTTGCAGGCTGGGCAAAGACTGTTGTGGTTGGTCGTGCTCGTCTTGGTGGTATCCCTATGGGTGTCATCGCCGTCGAAACTCGCTCAGTTGAAAACATCACACCTGCCGATCCCGCAAACCCCGATTCGACCGAACAAATCACAAACGAAGCCGGTGGTGTCTGGTATCCTAACTCCGCATTCAAGACCGCTCAAGCTATCAAGGATTTCAACAATGGTGAACAATTGCCGTTGATGATCTTGGCCAACTGGAGAGGTTTCTCTGGTGGTCAGCGTGATATGTATAACGAAGTACTCAAGTATGGAAGTTATATTGTTGATGCTTTGGTCAAATACGAGCAGCCAATCTTCGTTTACATTCCACCATTCGGTGAGCTCCGAGGTGGTTCTTGGGTCGTCGTTGATCCAACCATCAACCCAGAGTACATGGAAATGTATGCTGATGAAGATTCTCGTGGTGGTGTGTTGGAACCCGAAGGTATTGTCAACATTAAATACCGCAAGGACAAGCAATTGGAGACCATGGCCCGTCTCGACCCAGAATACGCCGAGCTCAAGAAACAGTTACTGGACACCTCCCTTGGACAAGAGAAGTTGGCTGAGGTCAAGTTTAAGGCTGAGCAAAGGGAGAAGGCATTACTTCCTGTCTACACTCAAGTCTCACTTCAATTCGCTGATCTCCACGATCGTGCTGGACGTATGAAGGCAAAGGGTGTCATCAGAGACTCGTTGAGATGGAGAGAGGCTAGAAGATTCTTCTACTGGCGTGTACGAAGACGTGTCAATGAGGAGTATATCCTCAAGCGCATGTTGTCCGCTAACTCGAAATCGCCAACTGGTACCAGACCGGAGAACTTGAGAAAGCTCGCAGCCTGGACCGCCATTCCAGGATTCGAAACGGATGATAAGAGCGTAGCCATGTGGTACGAGGAGAACAGAAAGGTGGTCCACGAAAAGGTTGAACACATGAAGGTGGAGGGTGTGGCCGCCGAGGTCTCAGCTCTGCTCAGATCTAACGGATCAAGTGCTAAAACAGGATTGAGTGGCGGTGCTATGGCTGGTATTAGACAGGTCTTGTCTATGTTACCGATTGAAGAGAGAGAGGAGGCATTGAAGTATTTGGGAAAATCGTAGGGGGTCATGATATGGCTTTACGTGAGGGAGATGAGATGATTATATGACCATGGGGGAAGATGGGATGGGATTGGATGGAATGGGATGGCATGGGATGATCAATGATGATAATCGTGGGAATGTGGGAATGTGGGAATGTGGAACAATAAACGGTTGATCGAGTGGGAGATGGGGGATAGAGGATGAGGGGTAGAGGATGATGAAACTTGTACTTTGTATTACAATTTTCTTTCGTTTTAGCCATGCTTTTAGTTTTTTGATAAATGGATTATGGGCAATGGATCTTTTACTGCGATGGTATGGTAGAAATAAGACGAGTTTACATGTACTGGTAAAAATGTTGATTTTGTGATAGCTTCGTTATATGAATGATATGATTGATTATGATGTGATTCAATTTTGTGTTTGTGTTTGAATTTATGTTTGTGTTTTGTAATCTTGCGAGTTTTGTTTTGTACGAGGAAGTATAGATTAGATCTAGATCTAGATAGTCTTTACCTTAATTAGATGTTTTATGAGAAAAGAAGAAGTTTTGTGGGTAAGTTGTAGGCAAATGAGTACGTAGGTTAATAATGAGTCAAGGAATAAATAAGTAAGGTTAATGAGTAAAGGAATAATAAGTAGATAAAGCAAACAAGTATCTATCTAACATGAATCAAAAAGTCCTAAATATCCCAATATGCCAACCTCATACATATACATATATATATATATACATTCCTTTCATACATCCCTCCCTGCTCCCCACTTCTTCTTACTTCCGACTTCCTATTTCCCCATACTCGAACAATCCCTCGGATACTGTACGGATCTCTTAATCTTCTTCAAGAGCGCATCCCCGTCTATCTGAGTGATATACTCGACTTTGCGTAATCCGGGGGGCATCAGAGCGGCTTGATAGGCGTGGATATTGCCGTAGGAGGGTGAGCCGTAGGATGTGTCTACGTCGATGTAGACTGGGGGGGTGGGGGAAGGGGTTAGTTGGTTTGTTGGTTGGTAAGGATAGGATAGGAAAGAAAACGAAAGAAACAACAAAAACATACAAGAACTACTATTCCTCACAATCCCCCCATCAACCATAATCCCCGCAGCCGTCTCATCCCAAAACGGAAACTCCGTCCCGTAATGCTCCGAAACCAAATCCGCATACGCACCACTCACCTCAGCCACCTCATCCAAAAATCCCTGCGTGCTCATCACCTGATTCGCTACATTTCCCGCAATGGTTATTTTGGGGAAATTCGCGGTGAGGGCTATTTTGGCGGCTTCGGGGTCGATGATTAGGTTGATGTCGGAGCTGAGATCGGCTTGCAGAACGCTGCCGCTTACTTGCGCCAGGTTGGAGTCGATGTAGCCGCCCATTATTATGAGCTCTTTGGCGAGAGAGGCGAAGTTGTCGCTGCTGCGGACCGCGAGTGCGATGTTGGTTAGGGAGCCAGCGGCGTCTTTTGGGGGGTTAGTTTGATGTGGTGTGGTGTGGTGTAGGAAATTAGGGGAATGGATTGGGTGGGGAGTTGTCTTGGTGGTGTGAAGATGAAAATTCAGAGCTAAAAGCTAAAAGCTCAACTCAACATAAAATAAACTCACAAATCGACACCTGACCCGGGTATTTATGCACCATCTCAATCATAAACGCACTCGCACTCTTCCCACTCTTCAACCCCGCAATCGAAGCATTACTCGGGAAACCCTCCACAAACGCCCCCTTGACAACCCTAAACGGATCATCCCCAGACGTGGGATCGCTCCCCGCTGCTTCCAGGGTAGCGTTGTACGGGGCAAAAGCCCCCTCCCATGGAAGTTTGCCATGGACGGCCTCCCAGGCTTGGAAGCGCGTCGGCGTGTTGATGAGGGGGAAGGTGGAGCCTGGGATTACGGGGATACAGGATGTGAGGTTCCCGAGTGAGAGCGTCGCTAGTGCGTGCAGTGCGACTTGGTGTTGCCATGAATCTGCGGTGCCTGCGATTGTTTGTTAGCTGAGGAACCCTTGCTGTGTGTTTTTTCTGTGTGTTTTCTAAGTTTTCATTTTTTTTTTTTGATGGAGGGGATCTTATAATGAATGCAATTGCTTACAGGATGTAATGCCCAAGACTTCCCAGCCGGCATCCAGAGCCATGAGATAGGGGATGAAGCCCGTGGAGCTCCAATCGTTGTCCATGATGACGTATTTGGTTGCATTGGTGGTATTATTGGTAGAAGCATATTTATTCGAGCCAGAGCCATAGCTATAACCACTTCTTGCATTAGAACCGTGAACAAACACCAGGCCCAGAAAACATGAGATGATTTGTGAACACCGCATCGCGACAACTACAGTACAAGAACAGTACTATTCGTAAATGAAAAGAGCAAGAGCAAGAGCAAGAGCAAATCAAATGGAAAAATCAATTTAGGAGAGAAAACTTCTTCATCTATTTATTGGTCACGAGATAGATAGATAGATCGAACCTACAGGTATATATAAGGTAATCAAAATCCATCGAATATTCCATTACCGGTATCATTACTCGTACTTTATATTCTTATATACCCCAGCATCACCGAAAAACCTCTTTTGTACCCACATCTCTCGTGGAAGAGTACGAGATCGTCAAGGAAAGATACAAATGTAGAATACTAACTATTGTACTTACGGTATGTACCTATCTGGAGCCCCACATAGATATTGGGAGGAGTGGCTCTATGAAGTAATATCAATTTTCTTGTGAGGTACATAGGAAGTACAGTGCCGGTGAACGGGTGAAGGAAGTACTAGGTAAGGTTATCGTGGTACGGTATCAAAGATGGGGACGGATAAGCCGGGGTTTGTTCGGATAAGTGGCGGTGGGTGGCACGGATGTGAGATGTGGATGGGGGATTTGGAATACTGAAAGCTGGATGGACGGAGAGGGATGGAGGCGAATTCCGGGGTTGTGAGATTGATGTGATGTGATTCGTATTGTTGGGGTTTGGAGAAATACTAATGTTTTTGGGTTTTCTTGATTGAGCTTCGCGGTGAGTGCGGAATATGAGTGGGGGTGGATAGCGCGGTAGTGTGAGAATGAATCGATGATGGATGGATATGAATGTTCTTGCTAGAACTGGGGTATTATCTCATGCTGAAGCAAGAATAGTTGAAGATGTGATTGGAAATAGAGCAATATATTGCTAAGAAGGTTCGTCGGAGAAAGCGTGCTTGACATATACAGGCCCTAATTAATCTGTAAACTTTTCAGATAAGAGGATCGTTATGCAACCAAGAAGGGGAGTCATGATTCCCGGTAAAGTGGGTGATCTCAACTTATTCGTATATATGTATTTGCCCATTCCGTGATATTGATAGATAGAGATGGAAATGAAGCTTGATAAATGAAGTTCGATACAAAAAGGGGTAAGCCATATTTACTTGTGAGTCTCCTTTCCATCCTTCAAATCTGCCATCTCATCCCAACTCGCCATTTATTTTGGCTTGAATCGGTCGGGATTTCGTTCTGGATTGGCTCTATGATTAATACGATTGCTCTCTTCGTATATCAAGGAATTTGTTTGCACCCCATAAACATATCATGGCAATACTTCTTACTCAAGAAAGTATGACAGTCAACATCATTCTTTGTACCCAAAGATCGATGTTGCGAACTAATTATGATCCATCGAATATATATTCCGATGCACGAAGTCGCTCGAAGGATGATGAGTGAAGTATTTTGCGGCATGGTTCGTTAATAAGCAAATCTTGCGAAGAATCATATATGGAAAACAACGCCGAGTACTTAATCTCGTGCTGATACTGTACGGCATAGAGTCTTTCTTCAAACAATTCTTCCGCAAAGAAAGCTCTCGAGAAAGAAACACTATGCTCATAAAGCAACAATTCAACTGGTTTCCTTCGAATTATTTCAATTATCAAGGTCGCAAAGGGAAGGACGGCAACATGACTGAAACGAATGCGGGGTATCAGCCCCAGTCACGATATTATGCTGTCGCTAAATACCCCTGAAAATGAAAGAAAGTCACATGCTATTTAAGGAAAGTGACAGGCTGGTGGATTCTTAATCACAGTGTCGATTTGCTCCTATCAAGATTCTAGTTGTTTTCTTCACTGCCTCACACTTAAAGATGGAACTTCACAGGATGATCAAATTCATATTACGGTAGCTGCATCTGTATCTTGTGGGTATGCGTGACCTGCGATATATCATATAAGGGGGGAATTCTCATAAGGTACAAAGTTACGATCGAGTTGAGCTTTCGTATAGCTGTGTTTTTTAATAAAAAAAGCGTGACCATGCAACGGCGCAAATACATGAATTTCAAGGCAATTCGGAAACTACCCGCAGATTTCTTTTAGATATCTAAAATAGCATCAACAGTATGATTACTCTCAGCATTCACAGTTTTGCAAGTTCCGTAACTCGAGATACGTATTTCTTTGTTGTTTTCGTGTTTCTAGATTGGGTTGCTACGTTAGAATCTGCTGAGAGCTGTAGTACAAGGTATTGTGTCTACCATATGGCATTGCCTTAGATGGAAATAATTAAAAGACCTCTTCGTATGAAACCAGCTTGCTATTCTTCTTCCATATACCACATTTCATCAAACAATGAATTCGTGAACACCAGATAAATTTGTTCACATCGACTTTCAAAAAAAATATATACCACTCAAGCACAATACAATCCGAAATATGATTCCCTCATCAATACTTCCGACAGTGTACCTGGTAACCTTTCAGTATAACCGCAAAACAGTGTGGTTTCCCCTCGTAGCACGAGAACTCAGAAAAGAAAACTGAGCATGAGTAAAACTTGGTATGGTAAGAGTTACACTTTATCGGCAACATCGCATTTCATGTCTATGCTAGTAGTTGCTATCTAACGGAGATGATGCCGCGCGCCAGAAACTTATATTTGCCCATGTCAACCTTTGAAACCCCGACTAATAGTATCGAAGCTGAAGGTATTTGATCCTGCCCTAGTTCTACTTTGAAGTCAGGCTGAGGATGCCTGATAGATGTTATGTAAAACAGAATTTGACATGCGAGTCCAGATGTAGAGAAGGATTGAAGTCTAGCCGTAGATGTTGGAATGGTCTCAATGGTGTTTAGTGAGGCTGCCTTTCGTATTTATTAGTGCTATGGACGAGTCACCTTCAAAATCTAGATTCAACAGATGGAAAGCAAGTTTTTTGGCACAAAAGTTCTCATCTGGATTCTCTCTTGGTGTGAGTTTATTATGAGCAAACTTGCCTCTACTAACACCATAAGAAAACATTCTCATCTTAGTTGTATAAACCTCCCTCATTAAATCTGGAGCTATCTCTCTCTATCTTAGTACTAAGGTCGAAGATGCCTTCTTGGGATAAACAATAGACTGAAGAGAAGCTTCCTCGCTTTAACACAACCATCAGAATCGAAGTTTCCCACTCCTCCAAGTCTCTTCGATGCTCAGTTTAATACAATACTTCTCAATCCAACTTTAGGGACATCGATTCCATCTTTGACGAGAAGAAAATGTCTCTCCCAGTCTTGCTTCGAAGCCTGAACTACCGCCTCCCAAAAACACCTATGACGGATGTACTTATAATATCGACCTGCACCTATGTCGCCCCCTGGACCCCATTTCGGAACCCAGACATCAACATACATTCCCATCCATGCCCACAAGTAGCTTTTTGACATTCCAGTGAACTTCGCATAGTTATTCTTAATTCCCAAATTTATCATCTTGAATCTCTCTCGGACAGCGAATTTGGACATCGTTGGTTCCACGAAATGCGCAGGAAATAAATTATTATCGACGGTGGAGATGTCAGGGCTAGCTGTTTCAACATGCTTGACAAACTGGCGGATAGCTGCAATGGCCCAATCTTCTCCCATTCCGAATGGATTAGGTAGAATTCTTTCTCCGCACATGACTCCTTGCCTTGCAACGATATTATGATAGTCTCTGGTTCGCTTTATCAACTCCCACTCTTTCTCACCGTCGGCATGATTTCCATAGACAGAACGAAGAAGATATTGGGTAAGAGCCTCCGAAAAGCGATATTTTGGGCCGAACCATGGGCGTAGGATTGCTGCAAGAGTACAAGGAAGTCCTTCTCCGTCACAAGTGGAAGAAACAGGTGGTTTTGTGTTGAGTAAGATAGGATGTGGGTGCACGTTCCGAAAGAAGCTATAGAATGCTCGAGCAGTCAAAGCAAGACAGGTTGCCGTGCATATATCGTCATCGGCAAGAAGTCCTTCGATTATCTGGAAAATAACTTCGATCGGCACTCGAGTAACTGTATACATTCAAGTTAGCAGCGTGTCGACTCTGCGCTCCCAGTGCTGGGACTCGATATAATTTCACAAGCCAGAATGAATTGTAGTTTACCTTGAATGATGCGCTCTTGGTGAGTGTTGTTTTGGCTTAGCCACTTTTGAATGCGAGTTCGAACCCTAGGATGTGCCATTGTCACAATTTGATTTGCAGATTGATCTTTCAAAGAACTTCCTGGCGGGAACTTCAGCTGATTCGAGGAGTTCATTGTCTCTTCCATCAATGTTGTTTCAGCTATAGCAAATAATTGGTGTCAAATATTCTTGATATAGAGCTGAAAGGGTGCAAAGGCATGCTAAGATGAAACGATGAGGCGCGGTATTTTATTTTATATGCTTCAGCTAACTATTAAGTTGTAGGACTTAATACATTACCAGCCATACTCTTATCACCTTTTATCCGACTACTCACTTTCATGAACTCAGCTATTTGGATGCCATCCCGGCATTATCTCGGAATTAAGGGGGGATCCTTTGAGCCGATTCCACCCGAAATTACTTTTGACTTCACTTGTATTGAGATGTGATTGAGCAGCCCTTAGTATATAATTTCGATATTCCAGTAAAACCCTTTAGGTTACTATGAATTCATCTCCTTCCAAACTTTGCCATCTAGTCAAAACATGAAATTAGCCACAATAGATCACTTGTAGTTTTCTTGATGCTGTTCTTAGCGAAGCTTCTTGTTTGACACCTGTATCTATGAATTCTATCTTTGGAATTGATAGAAGTTTACAATCTGCAACAAACGTTTTTTTTTATAGCATTTGAGAGAAGGAGAACCCCAAAGAATCACATGAACTTCTATTTGGATTATTTTAGCCTTGGTTTAAAGCAGGTTCCAAAATTTACATTTACGACTACCGCAAACTAAGCGAGATTGAGTTCATTCACTTCCACACTAGCGCAAACTCTCACCTGTACAAGTTTTCTACCGAACGGTAGTATTTATTTTACAAACCCTCACCTGTACAGATACAAACAACTTGAAAGATCGGAATATGTGCAAATAATCGACAATTAGCACTTCAGCCAAAGGGTTGGATATCTATCAGTCCTTCTACCATCATCTATTCTATTCACATCAAACTTACACAGAAACAAAACACGTTATCCCGACAAAACCATTATCCAAGAATCAAAATGGACTCCGGCGAAAAGTGATCTGCCGGATCTTCCTCAACCAGTCAGCCGGGAACTTCGCAGTGCACGTTCTCAAAAGTCCCTCCAAGCTAGTCCTTTGTCTAGACAACCAACAAGAAAACCAAGAAAAGTCCAGACTAAGACCACGGAGGATGTTCAGAACAAGACCATGGAGAATGTCCAGAACAAGACCATGGAGGATATTCAAAGCATGACCACAGAGGATGAACATGAAGCTCTCCTGAAAAAGACAAGGGAAGTGGAAAGAAAGGCTGATATTGAACAAAGAGAGGCCGAGGGTAAGTAACTTGCAGTTCTCTTGTATTGTCCATTTGTATTTTCCTACAAACTTGTGTATTTACTAAAATTATACAGAGGCAGCACTTCCAGATTTATCAGAGCCAACCAACCGTGACCCAAAGGAGCTCTATTTTCCTAACACCCAAGAGTACTACTACACCTTAAAAGACTATCAGTCACGCTGTGAACAAGAGTCTCGAAAGACAAAATCTCGAAAGACAAAACGCTACAAGAATAAAGGTTGGTCATGAGACTACTACAGTCCTTTTCCAATTGGTTTTTTTCCACCCATATATCTTGGCACAGCTCCTGGCTATGGTTTGTCCTCCTTGATGGATCTCATCAGTGCTATACTCTGTCAACTAGATTTGGTTCTTCCAATCCACCATGGCTGCTCAGATGCGATTTGCTGTAAAAGAAAATTCTGCAACAATTGCATATAATGACACACGTCTTATATGCCACCTACTCTCACAGAGCACCTCTTGATGGATCAATATTGTCTGTCTTCGAGACAGTCAATATCATGGATCGTTATTGATGTTATTTCTTTTCATTCTCTGCCAAACCTTTACCTTCTACTCGCTATTATGTTATCATTCCTTTCAAATATCGAGAACACTACTAATGCATAATAGTTCCTCTAGTCAGCAAATTCTGTGTACCCGCCGAGATCATCGTGAAGATTTTCAAAAATCTCCTCGAGGTACCAAACGGCTCCGACCCCGATCTTTGCACTTCCGTATGCTTTGCATTAACCTGTCGCTCCAACTGGGCAATTTTCCGCCAAATTCACATCTACAAAGTCCCCCTAGCCAGCAGATATCCCCAAGAGACTGTCTTTCCTGACCGCGACGCCATCTGCCTTGGAAAACTCTTATTCCTCTGGATGTATCCAAAATATCGGCCTATACGCTTCTACGAACAGCACCTTATAGGAACGAGATTAGAAATTCAAGACTGCCCGGATATTTTGTATCTGGATATTCGCAAATATCCCGTTGGAGGAGAGAAGGAAAAGCGGCTTGCACAGAGAATGCACGAATATAAGGCTAATCGATTTTCCAAGTTTATTGCTGAATATAAAAAGCGGAATGGCGCACGATTGTCCGCAAGCAGTGATAGCTTAGACTGGCGTATCCCAGATCCATACAACATGGGCGAGGAGTGGTATCCTGCTACAGTCCGTATCCTCAAGCATGGTGTATTTGGCTGGCCCGATGATTGCGCGGGCGATGCGGGAACGGAATGGCTTAATCCGACCCAGTATATGTGGTATTACTGGGTCTGGCAGAAATACAAAAAGTGGATGTTGAGAGACTGGGTTGAACAGCCGGAGGCTCTTGAATATAAAAAGCTGCATGGGCTTGGGAGAGGAGGAGAGAAGCAGATAAGTATGATACATGGGCTCCAGATGCTGAGGTTGGTTGATGTGCGTCTTGATCAGCCTGAGCTTCAAGGTCAAAATGGTAGTGAACTCAATATTGAAGCTGGTAGGGGTCAGAGTGATGAGGTAAAGGTCGAGGAGAAAGTCGAGGGTATTGATGTTACTGGTAGGGATAAAAGTGATGAGGCGAAGGTCGAAGTGAAAGCTGATGATATTGATATTAAGGGCTGAGGTAAAATGGGTTTTCAATTTGGTGTATTCGGGAGTGTTATGGCTGTGAAATATCTACCAATGTCTCAGACAACCATCTTCTTTTCTTCCAGCAACTACGATTTCTTCAACTATGCTTTCCGGATAAATGCACTGTCACTCAAGGCACTTCAAATATTACGCTTACATACAGGAATTTTCATCAGCATAACTAAATATGAAGGAAGTAAACACAGTAGCATAAATCGATGAGATGGTTTAGATAGCCAATTTAGCTTTTTTTTCAAAGTATTTTAGTTCCTTCTTATTGAACTAGTACTCCAATGATTTTGAGTCAAAATCAATAATGCATTTATATTCATGACGAGTTTAGTAGTGACAGGGAAAGATACAAGAAACATGAGAAGGTATAGATTAATATACCCAGGTCAATCAGTACTGATTGATATATTGGGTTTCCCACAATCATCAATTATACTCGAGTCAACTCAGCCTCTGATAAAATCCTCTTCCCAAATTCAAAGTTTTGGAGGATATTATACCTTGAAGCAGTAATCTCTTTGGTTGCCATGTCATTCGGTGTCAGGTCCTTAACTCACACTCTGAGTCATGAATATAACAGTTACACTACAATCCATATAGACTCGCAGGGTATCCAATAGCACAAACTACAGTCCAACAATAAGATATTCTTAATTCCTGAATATATCTCAAACATTATTTTGATTTAAAATATTGAAACTATTTCAAGTATTAAATATATTTGAAATAACAAATTGCTTGAAATTTCTTTAATTCTTTTCAAAGATTAAAAACATTTCAAATATTGGAATCTCTTTAATTGGATTGTAGTCTGGACTATTGGATACCCTGATATAGAGTTAGTGGTATATGACTTATTTGATAAAATACTATGAAATAAACTTCAGACACCGGTATGTCAAACAGAGTAACAATATTAAGTCACACTTGAGGTATTATACTCTTCCACAAGATCTAAAAACCAAGGTATTCAAGTAAATATCTCTCCCAACAGACTCCACACCATTATTCATTCCCCGGGCCATTTCCGACATCCAAATTTCAGATACTGTCCTCGAGTAGAAACTACAAAAGTCCAAGACCGAAACATAAAACACCAACAGAACCAAAAGTTTCTCTCCTCTCTAGACCTCACTCTACAACATATACTACCGTGACATTCACATTCACATTCTCAATGTATTATCTACCAGTATCCCTTCACATTTGGGCCCACCTTATTAGCCTTCCTTATATACCAGCCGGTACCCTATCACAGAATCACCGAATATAACACCGTACCTGTATATACATTTTCCACCTATCCCCGAATTGAGATATCATAAGACCCTCACTCAATCCATACATCTACTTCCACCTTCCCAATCTCTCTAATCATTAATCATCAACCACCAACATAGTCACCTTCCCGAATTCCCCAACCCCACCCCATCACGTGAGTGTCCTCGCCTATCTCACAACTCCTTAAAATCCCCCGCCTCTTTCCTCCCTTTCCTCCCTTTTCTCCCTTTCCCCCAATAAAAAATTTCATATATATCATAAATCATCATAAACAGAATAAATCCTCTACCAGCAACACATTCTAAATATATCTTCTATTACCCTTACCCTTACCCTTACCCTCTATCAATACTTCCCTCTTATATTTATGACTAGAAACTGCATTTCCACAATTTACGCCCACAACTCGCTTTTACTCAACTACTACTCGAGTAGGTATGTATGTAGTTAGGCGTTTTTCCATCATAGACTCTTAGTATTGAAGCGTTGTAATTGCATTTAGAATAAGGTTTTAAAGTATGGTATATATTATATGTTATGTGAAGTTAGAGATTATGAATCTATCCGTTGAATATGATAAGTTTGCTGACAGACCATCGAAAGCCATTACTGACCTACAGATTGATCCGAACGAATGCCATTGTTTAGTTCAGCATGCCAAGAGCGTTCGCATTAATTTTCTTGTATAGAGAGTGTTACGTATCGTTGCTAACCCATGACTAGGAAAGCCCATGAGCTCACGATAAGTAACACACTAAGAATCTAAGATACAGCATTACTCGAGTAACTTTTCCAAATAAATAACATATGGCGCTGTTTAGTCAATGTATACCGGAACAACTAAATACCCCGTGAACCAGGCATCCAGGGATGTTGTCTAATCCCTGGTATTACCAAAGCTTCCAAACTTCGTTCTCCTGCTGCATCTGTTGACCCGTACCCGACTATATGGAATGTAGCATCTTTTGATGGTCGAATGCCGACTTTGCATGTAAAACCTTCTGGTATATATATTGTCTCAGTCTCAGTCTCACTTGCAGTTTCAGAATCCAATTCGACATTCTTGTCGTGACGAAAACCCCGTTGAATATCTGGTATCATAATCTCAGGTACTTTAAGCACACCCTTCTCATCTCTCTCGGGGAGCCATCAGATCCAATGCTTATACTTTCGCTCACACCCTATCTCTAGGCGCGGCCAAAGCTCAGGCTCAATCTGTTGCTTGGACACATGACCAGGAACCTGCCATCCAAAACGGAGATCAGCAAAATCAGCCAGTCGGAAGTTGAAGCGGTGGCGCACTAGATCAGATCGCGGTACTTGCTCTGCGATACCCTCATAGGTGTCTGAGACGTTCTCATTTAAAAACGATTGTTTAGAGCCAGTCCAGACAGCAACTTCTATGTCAGGCGATGACCACAAACCATAGTACTTTCGCTCTTGGTGGATTTCAAGATAGGATGTTAACATATCCAGCATCGCATGGTCGCACATGACCCATATACCAAGCCACAGTAGAGCAGGTTTGAGTCGACGGACAATGAATATCTTCGCAAGCATTTCCAGATCTCCGGCTTCAATGATAGGCCGCAAGACTTCCAAGATTGCACCAAACCAGGCGCTGACAAGATTGCAATCTAGTCCTGGCTCCCAAAAAATGCTACAAATTACAGAGCCTATGGTGGAAGGATGTAGACATAGAGTCATGTAATAGGGAAGGTCGTTTACATAATCTCGAATGTATTTAGGAGGTATGGTGTGCGCCCTGTGATCTATGGTGATTCTAGGCATCGGAAGTTTGGGCTGTAACGCTAGGTGGTTGTAAAACGGCAGTGCAAGTGCCGCTAAGAAAGCCAATGTAGGTTGTTGAACTTTCTCAGATGATTTTGATTATCCTCTGCAGGAGTCCCAAAGCCACACAACGCACAAAATTCCATAAGAAGGTTTGTAGCCCTCTGAGAAGAAGGGGGTTTCTGCGCTAGAAATTTGAATGGTTTGTCTATGACGATGATAAAGCGAAAATCTTTCACGTAATGCGCGGCCCATGGTGGTAGAGGGCTTATTACCTCCCAACCCAATCCAGGTGCTAGAACGGCACAAAGCCATCTAACTAGATCATTTGAGGCACAGCCGAGTCAGAGGACGATGTCTCCAGGTCGAGGCTTTATGTCTTGCTTGAGGACAGGTGATAATCTCGTGGCAGAATACCGTATGGGTCTCCTCTGCATTTCGAGAAACCGTACACAGAAAATGTAGGACCAAAGTGCCATAAGTATCGCAATGCCATTTGATCTTTCGCCATCAAGTCGGAAATCAGATCGAGTTGATATACGACACTCAATGGGCTTGGGTATTGAGAGAGGAAATGACTTTTTGATACCGTGAACGAAATCAGGATTCCAGTCCCCTTTATCAGACTTAGAGAATTCAGGGTTTGGGATATCCCATAACGCTTGTCCTGTGATGTTCCGCTTTCTTGGTAGATCTCGAGGAAGGGGAGGTGTATGTTGCAACATAATATACGGATCCAAGATCCCAGCAGATAATAAGCCAGACGGTAGCGACATAGCGCGGGTAACATAGGAGCTCCAGATATTTTGACCCTTCAAAAATGCGTGATTGATCTGATCTAGGCTAGGTATGAGAGGGTCGTCATCCTGGCCGACAAGAAACTCAATTCGCTCGGGATCAGAATTTGGATCCACAGGCTCTTCAACTAAGTCAGTTTGTGAACTAATTGAGGCCGTTTGAACCGTTTGTTCGGATAAGGCGCTAGAATCCTTTTCAACCGAGACATCCTGCATCTGTTCCGTCCCGATTGTGCTTCCGCTAACTTCAAATTTAACATGGTCTGTCTTGAATGTATGATCTTTTGTTTCTATCCAGCGAATGATTCGGTCGGCAGCGCTATCCATAATCTTTTGATTCGCTTCGGCGTCTTGGGCAAAGGTAGAGGCCATATGTTTTGAAATGCTGTCGAAAATGGTGGTGAATTGTGGCCAAAGTTGTCGATTGGCTGTATTAAAGGCGACAGCTCTTGAGCGCGATGGGAATGCGACGGTTGATAGTGATATCTGAGAAGAAGGACGAGGTTTGGTTTGCCTTTTGTTTACCACAAACAATATCTTTAAAGCGGCAGAACTTACTGTTCACTAGGGAACGCGGGTCCGGGTCAACCTTCAACCGACTCGCATACCCGTCTTACCTGAACTAACTGAGGTTGGATCAAACTGCTTCCAGATTCTTCCAATCATATAATCAATTCAGCTTTTGGCTTGATCGACAGCTAGATCAAATGCGGCTGGACCCAACCTCAGTTAGTTGAGGTGAGACGGTATATTGCCTCGTTTACCGGCTGGACGAAAGCCTTAGGTTACATGCTCATTGTTGGAACTTGGAAGCCAACAATTAGTCTAATTGGTGACTATAATAAGCCTTGTAGTTCAACCAGGAGCTAAGAATTTCTAGTCTCCCCGCCATATCATAACCCTTACCAATCCTAGCCATATCCGTGGAAAGGGACAACAAGAATCTCCACCACGAATATATTTTCTAGAACCTACGGCTAAGTCTTCTATCAATGAAGCGTCTGTTGTCCATCAGTCTTCGCAGCCTGAGATGTCATGGAGAATGTCTTACAAACCATCCAAAGAAAGTACCAAGTCATCCACCAGTGACTTTATAGCAGAGCAGTGAAGCGCAGCCTTATTATCCTTGGCATAGCGCACGATTACACGTTGTTTCTCAAGGCTTGCAGTATATTTAAAGACAACATATCGACAGCTGTTGCAAGATTTTGATTGTTCCAGCAGATCTAGATATTTCATTTGCTCCATCCGGTTTAGGACGCGGCGTCTTCGATTGTTTACTAGCGTGTTCAGTTATCTGTAAATCATCAAGAAATATGTTTTGTTTTTTGGGATTGATGTGGGTTAATGGTAGTTGAGGGGAATTTATGGTGATTGATGAAGGATCATGGAAAATTAATGGATGTTGATGGCATATATGGAACTTCAGCGAAACTACAAGCCCCACTGCTGGGAACGCACCAATTATTCCAACTGCAGAACTTCCTGATAAGTAGCTATATCATTGAGGGAACCACCCAGTCGGTACTCCATTACAAGTGTCATCCATAGATAGGCCACCTCCAGTCTAGTCATATTGCCCGCCTCAACCCATCATTTTTCTTCATCGTTGTCCGCTTAATTCACCATACGTTCATACTCCAATGATACCTATCACGCTTTCAGAATCCCACATCAGTGTCTTGCTTCCCCACGTGATGCTGCAACTGTGTACCACAGTTATATCCAGGGCCGAAGTAATCAGCTTCCTGGGTCGACCAAAACGGGCAACGGAGGTAATCTTCTTAGATGGGGAGGTAGATGAAAATTTGGGGGTTTGATGTTATAAGCTAGGTGACATGGAGTTAATGTTGTAAATATATATCCGGGCTCTTTTGCGTAGAATCTGGATCAACTTCGGCTCTAATTATATTGGTATATAAATACTCCAAAAGAAGCTCAGGTATATGATTGTCTGATGACGAATTGGTTGAGATTAATTGAGTATTAATGCGATTCAATGCAATATAATGCAATATAATGCTAAAAGAGATATGAGAATAAGAATGTTTGGATACAGACTTCCGTATTATATAGACATAGCTTCACTCAACTATTGAGTACCTTGAAAATGAAGTGCGAGATAAGTGAGGGGGAGGATGATGAAATCAATGATTCTATTCGCGTAAGTAGAGTTGAAAATCCGTCTGATATCTGTTCCAGTCTGGAGCAACTTGGAGCTAACACCAGAACAGGTTAGTTCACATACCACGTGGCTTAGGTAAATTTGATGAGATGAGATGACGAACATTAACTGCAACTGCATCTCGAAGCAGAAGCATTAATATTGAGGTGATTTTTGAAGGGATTCCAACATCAATGCTCGTAGAGGCAAATAGATAAGAAGATCTACGATATCAATACGGTTGGTACCAATATTAACACTAATACCAATCATTACTCGTGTCTCTATCTAGCATCTATACTATAATTGCCCAAAGGAGATACGGAGTTTTTAAAAGAATCACAGAAGTATCAAGCAGTATTGGCCGAACAATTGAAGGTGTATTTATCAAGCAGCGTTGGATCAAGGGTTCTCTTTCGCCTCCTTTCAGCAATGACTTCGATATCTCAGGCTGAGAAAGGTTATTATAATTAATGTTTAATTTGGTTGAAAATCATGATTCAAATCATTTGCGGTTCTCGGTCTCGATTCAAAATGTTACCATTTTTTTTTGGCTGTCAAATTTCTTTAGAGTTCCTTCAATCAAATTCTCAAGTAATATTTACATAATTATATGAGAATTTTCGCCATCCTCATCGCGTGATCTTTAAGTATTGCCTAAGGCATTCATTCGTATTCGCACGCCCATTTGAGATTCATTTCGTCGCTTTCTTTGAAGTGAAGTTGAAGAGAAGAGTGAAGATCTAGAGTGAAGTAAAGTAAAGCAAAGCTTCTAAAAAAGATTAATAGAGATATCACAATAATTAAGAAACCATAGTTATATCAAAAAAAGTACTGACAGATGCTTTTTTCCCTTTACTGTTATTTACCCTTTCTTTTTCCTTTTTCCTATATCAATAATTTTGACAAGCCACGATAGCCTCGATAGCCACGGTAAAAAAACGGTAGCCTCCTTTTTTTCCCCAGGATTTTCTATCAATGCCGTACACTAAGAGCTAAGTTAACCTTGCTCTTGTTGATCCAGAGCACGCAATAACTTAAAAATTGACCTCAACTTGTCTATCAAAAGACCAACGCACCAGAAGAAGAAATTCCATATATGTTTTGAATAAATTGCTCATCTCGTCTTTTAATCAATCAACCCTTACCTCAACATATTGCCGTTTACGATATATACATACATCACACACGATACGATACGATACGATACAATACAATACAATACAATACAATACAATACAATACAATACAATATTGGGCCTGGTTTATCTCCGATTTAACTCATACCTTACCTTACCTTACCTTACCTTACTGAACTATTTCACCATTTCTAAATATTTCACCATCGCATGGTCAGTATGGCGTCAACTCACGACGACTCTTTAGCCTTGCGTCATAATGTTGAAATGGATTTGGAGCGGTCAAGAAAGAATACTTCAAAGGACGACAGTCGAGATTTGTGTTTAGCAACGAAAGATCAATCAAATCGCCATCATCTTGAAGCTGCCAGTGATATACTTGAATTGGGAATACCACTTTCAATGGAGGATAATTGCAGAGCCGATCACGATCATTCAGATCCTACAATTACCATATCATCTACCAGTAAATTGGCAGGTCAAACCGTGGCTCCATTCCTTGCGAAACATATTCCAGAACAATACGCTCCTCTTGGACATCCACAATCTACCTCGTCGTCACGGAAGGATCCAAATACAAAATACTGTTATCGACATCGACCAGATTCGAAGTGTCGAAGGTCCGCAGATGAACCTACCATGGAGAATCTACAAAGAGTGCGTCACACAACCGACCCCTCGCACCCCTCGCCCCCCTCTTACAACTCTGTACATCTACTAATATGATAACAGGAACTTGAAACCTTGTCGCAATCAGATCAACAAGGAATATCTCACGTCTGGACACTCTTCTCTGCCGCGCCATCCAAACATCGAAACCTTATGCTACAGGGCATCCTATCACAATGCTGCTTTCCACAATTATCCTACCTCTCATCCGCGGTCAAGAACCTCATTCGAATCGACTTTGTTACCGCTTTACCTTCCGAAATTTCCTTTAAGATCCTCTGTTACCTCGACACAACATCCTTATGCAAAGCTGCGCAAGTTAGTAGACAATGGCGAATCATGGCGGACGATGACGTAGTTTGGCACAAAATGTGTGAGCAACATATTGATAGAAAATGTACAAAATGTGGATGGGGTTTACCATTGCTGGAACGAAAACGATTAAGAGATTGGAAACGACAACAACAATTAAGAGCGACAGGTCTTGGTCTTAACGATCGGTCACCTCGAATTACACCCATGCCAGATAATTTACGCAATACGGAAACAAGTGTTGTGAAATTGAATGCTTCGGGGAAGAGAAGCGCCACTGAGTCAGAAAGCTCAGAGGAAGGTCCAAAGAGACAGCGGACCAATCCAGAGGAATCATGTTTCGGGAGACCAAAGTTTCGACCTTGGAAGGATGTATATAAGGATAGGTTTAAGGTTGGAACGAATTGGAAGTATGGACGGTGTTCATTAAAAATATTCCGAGGTCATTCAAATGGTGTCACTTGTTTACAATTTGATGACAATATCCTTGCCACTGGATCATATGATGCGACTATCAAGATTTGGGATATTGAAACGGGGGAATGTTTACGAACTTTACGGGGTCATACATCTGGCATTCGAACTTTACAATTTGATGATACCAAATTGATCAGTGGGAGCCTCGATCGAAGTATTCGGGTTTGGAATTGGCATACCGGGGAGTGTATGTCATCTTATCCAGGTCATACGGATGGAGTTGTTGGTCTTCACTTCGAAGGGAATATTCTTGCCTCAGGCTCTGTCGATCGAACAATCAAAATTTGGAACTTTGAAGATAAATCCACATTCGGTTTACGAGGTCACAAGGATTGGGTAAACGCAGTCAAAGTTGATTCGGCTTCACGAACAGTATTCTCTGCCTCCGATGATTGTACCATTCGACTTTGGGATCTCGACACTCGACGTACGATTAAGATTTTTGAAGGTCATGTGGGTCCTGTTCAACAAGTTACTATTCTTCCACCCGAGTACGAGTTTGATGATGTAGACGTTGAAGAGGCAGATGACGGAACATCAAGTATAGCATCATCAACCGATCTCAATCGCCCCATAAACGAAACCTGTTCTTCCTCCCAGACATCTTCTCTTTTCGACTCTTGGCCAGCAGGACGTCCCCGTCCACCCCGCTACATTCTCACCGGAGCTCTCGACAATAATCTCCGTCTTTGGGATGTATCGACAGGTCGTTGTCTCAAAACTCTCTTTGGTCACGTGGAGGGTGTATGGGCTCTTGCAGGTGATACATTAAGAGTGGTGAGTGGCGCTCAAGACATGATGACGAAAGTTTGGGATGCGAGGACGGGTAAATGTGATCGTACGTTTACGGGTCATAGAGGACCAGTCACGTGTATTGGCTTGAGTGATAGTCGCATGTGTACGGGGAGTGAGGATTGTGAGGTTAGACTTTATAGTTTTAAGGGAGAAAAGGCGGAGACGGCTGATACAGATACGGGGTTTATTGAGGAGGTTGCGTTGTGATTGCAGTGATTGAAGAGGAGGTGTTGTGGTGTTGTGGGGTTTGTGTGGTGTGTGATGTGCGTGCAGTGCAGTGCATGGCGCTCATATGATTGTTTTGATTTTTGTTTCGACGTACTGTATTGCACTGGCTGGCGATTGATATGATGCATGGATGGATGGATGGAAAGATACCTTTTTGCAAATAATTTGCCGGCGCTAGCTATTAGGAGTTAGGGATCCGATTGATATAATCACATGTCATGGATGGATGGGTATCTAGGAGTATAGGAGTATAATGTATAAAGGGATTTATATCGCAGATGTAATGGGGCGTTTTGATTATTTGATATTTGAGTGAGGATGAGGATTTGAATGAGGATTTGAATGAGGATTTTGAGATTTTGAGATTCTGATTCTTATTGTTTTTGGGGGAGGGTGGATGGAGTGGATGGAGTGGAAGGAGTGAGGGGGGATGATGGTTCGATGGATTAAATAAAATCTGAGAGGAGAGAGGATTATAGTATAGTTATAGTATAATATATCTATATATCTATATATCTAACTATTCATCTTTTCATTTATCTATCCATCCATCCATCCATTTACTCAAATATAATCAATCACTCTACGAGTCAGTACTTTAAATAATCAATCATCAATAATCCATCCACTCATCCACTTAAATACAATTCACCCAACAACTGTATATTAATATTAATATTAATTACTCGAGTATACATTTACAATTACAATTACAATTACAATTATATTTATATTTACAATTACATTCACAATTACATTTACTCTTGAACCAACCAAATCAGATTAATTATCAATTAAAAGCCGCACTATCTATTAGCACTAGCACTAACAGGCTCTGCCACTGTTATTAGATTAGATTAGAGGGAACTCGGAATTGAGAGAAGTGAGAGAAGTGAGTTAGTTAACTTGAAGCCTATATTCAACTTGAAGTTATGGTTATGAGATGTTTATAACTTGAAGAGGTGTCTTGTGCGATGGATGGATGAATGAATGGATGGATTAGGTGAAGTTGTATGAGTAAGGTTAATGTCTACGTTGGTTATAGTGATTTAATACTATATCACTTTTACAACCAAACCACATCGATATTATATTCACATTTACAATATTACATCCTCCAACTTCTCCATCCTTAACCTCCTCCTCCCACTCCCCTTCCTCCATCCTCAACCCCCAACATCTCCATCCTCCTCCCTCCTCCTCTCCTCCCCC